GCCCGGTGTGCGCGCCTTTGGGGGGGGGGTTAAACCCCGTTTACCTGAAGTCCTGGCTTGCACTCCTGCTTCCCTGCTCGCCTCCTTCGCCAAACGTGACAGCAGCAGTATGTTTTATGATTTACTAGTGTTTTGCTTAAATGTTACGTATATGCTAGTTATTATAAATAATAATATTGTTCTAAAGTTTTTGTGTATCACAAGTATTATCTGCTAAAAACCTTATGCTTTGTTATGATTAAGTTGCAAAATTCACTACAGGTAGGATGTACTTATTGAATTTTTACTCCATTTTTATTTATATACAGTACAGGTATTATTACAGTAATACATTGTTGTTATCAATAGTTTAGCATAGAAAATGCTTATTTTAAGTTGTCAAAGACCCATAAATAAACGATCACTATAAAACCGCAGATTTCCGCGATAGAAAATTACATATGTACGTATGATACAGTGGGGGCGCAATAGCTGAACTGCAGTATAGCTGGGCATCACTGTATAATAAAAATTATGGGACGCGTTCGGGTTCATGGGCCCCCTTGAGCTTCATTGGCCCCAGAGCGATGTACCGGCTGCAGTCCCCTCTCCTCAGGCCTGTTGATGCTTCACTGGATTAAAATGAAGGCCCATTCTATATTTCACAGAGCTGGCCACAAACATTTCACTGCCAGTTGTCATGTTATCTAGTATTAATTACTTTATTTTTTTGGGATACTTTTAACAACCTGTTAACATAGTCAGCACAGTTTAGCTGTACTGCTCCAAAGAACAAACCCAGGATAGAGGGGCTCAGTGAATGTGGTCTGGACCATGTGCAGGAGGGTCACTGTATCAGAAACGCTGTAGAAGGACAGAGTTCCTGCCCTGTGATCCAGGTACACTCCTATACTGGGGGGGGCAGATACTGCAGTTTTCACATTATTGTGCCAGAATGAGTGACTGGAGGTTGAGCAGCACAAACGCCAGGACTTGTCATTGCGTCCAAGCCAGCTGTCATCATCCCATCCTTTCCTGCTGATTCCTTTGTATGCGACCGCGATACCGACCATAGTCCCGCTCCAGTCAACCTCCCAGTAGCAGCACCCAGTCAGACTCTCTCTACACAGCACATTGGGGGAGTCAAACCTCTCCCGGTGATCAGGATATGACTCTGTCTCTCTCTTCCATGTCACCACTCTGTTCCCCTCAGACAGATGGAGGTTATTGTTTATTGTGTTGGGGTCCAGAGTGAGCTGACAGGAATCTGATAGAAGAAAAGATCGGAAGATAATGTTTTGGTCTCATTCACTCCTTATATTAAACAAGAGTGTGCAATTTTTGGTATGTTTTAACACTTTCAAAAGTATTTAGATAAAAATATATAAACAAATGAATGTTTAGCCGTTCATGTTTATAAGGTCATATTCACAGCAGGGATGCCACAGAGAATAACATGATAAGCAAAATAATATTAAACATCAGCAGCCACATTGCAAACAGATTCAAAGGCTCCTGACATAAACAGCTCATGTAAATGTGAAAGACCAGGAGGCAGCAGGAGAGAGAAAGAGAAGCTCCACTAGCAGAAGAAAATGAAACACAATAAAACACACTCCACCTCATACAGGGAGAGAGAAGCGTGTGTGTGAACAGACTCACATTGTAAGAATTCTGCTCTGGTCCTGGGCACTAATACTGGTAGGATGGTGTCTTTGGTAACTAGAAGGAGACAGAGAGAAACAGGGACGTGAGTAAAAGGAATTTACTTGTGGGAGATGGACTTCACTCACTGTGGAGACACCAGCAGTAGATTATTATCATTATGAGGGACAATAACAGGCATTTTAACAAACTGCTTTTGATTTTTGAGTTATATAATATAGACAACACATGATTCATGTGATCTTGGTTTTGCAGCTTGTAAAATTTGGAGTTCACTAGTTTACTGAACGATTTAGTCTTGAAAACAGAAACTGACTTGGTCACACAAAAGTGACACCGACTGTACTGCAAACTCTCTCTGCATGGTCTGTGTTAACATGAACAGACAGGAAAATGTATTCATTCATTAACCTGTGTGACGGATCTCTTTTCGCAAACATTCTCCAGTTGATCCTTCAGTTTAGAAACCTCCTTCCTCACATTCTCCAAAGAGCAGCATGGATAGACTGAGATTTTGTGTCCAAATTCAGCTTGAGGGGTGACAGGAAGACCCTGGCACTTCTACAGGCACACAGTCTGATTAATCAGCTTCATCAAAACAAATGTGACTTCGATTCAAATTAACAGGACCTTTAACATCTGACAAATGACAGACTAGTTGAAATACAAATGAGAACATACATGCATTTGAATACTCTGGTTTTCTTATTGCCAAAGTAGCTGTTCTGTTACCTGCAGTAAATGGATGTGATCCTCTGTGTGTGAAAGCTGCTCCAGCTCAGAGTGTCTCCTCTTCAGTTCATCGATATCCTTCTCTAGTATCTCCATGTGCCCTTCAGCCTGACTCACTGCAGCCTTCACCTGATCTATGATCAGCTTTGTCACCTCAGAGCTTCTTCTCTCAATGGAGCGGATAATCTCAGTGAAGATCCTCTCGCTGTCCTCCACTGNCGCCTCTCCCGTCCTGCCCGCGGCCCTGCCTGAGGCCGCCTCTCCCGTCCTGCCCGCGGCTCCGGCTGCCCAGCCTGCGGCCACGCCCGAGGCTCCGGCTGCCCAGCCTGCGGCCACGCCCGAGGCTCCGGCTGCTCCGCCTGCGGACATGCCCGAGGCTCCGGCTGCCCCGCCTATTCCCTCTTTAGAGGCCCTGACTTCTGTCCGCCCAGCACCGACCTCCCTCATGACTCACTCACCCTTGCCCCGGCGAGGTCAACAGCCCCCGGGACCCCGCCTTTCAGTGTCCCGCAAGGGACGGGGACACAGGCGTCGGGCCCGGGTCCCACCCGCCCTGCCCCCTGGCTCGCCCGTTTGGCTCCTGGCTGTGGCTCGGTGGCTGCCTGCGGGTCCTCCGGCTCGGTGTCGGCGGTCTCCGGCGGGTCCCCCCCTGGTTCCTCGGTGCCGGTCCTCGGTCCCGCCTTCGGCTCCGTGTCGGCCGCCTCCGGGCCCCCCTGCTCCGGCTTGCCGTCGGACGCCGCCTTCCCTGGCTCCGGCTGCGCCTCCGCCTGCCGCGGCTTCCCCCTCCTGCCTGCCTGCACCGGTGTTCCCTCCTGCTCCCTCCGTGTCCCCTCCGTCACTACCTTGTCCCGTTCCCTTGGCCCCTGGGTGGTCCCCTCCTGCTCCCTCCTCCCTCTCGCCTGCGGCCCCTCTGGCCGCTGCCTGTCGCCCGCCTGGGTTCCCTTGGGCTCCCCTGGTTCCTCCTCCCTTTCCCGTTCAGCCTCCTGTCTCTGCTCCTCCTCCCTCTGTGTCTCCTCCGTTCCCTCCTCGTCCCTTTGTCCCTCCTGTCTCTGTTTCTCGTCCCCCTCTGGTTCCTTCGTTCACTCCTGGCCCCTTCGTGTCGCCTGTGGGTGTTCCTGTTGTGTCTCCCTTTTCTGTCTGTCTGTCTGCCTTTCCTGTTCTTTGTCGTGTCCTGTCTTTCGTTTCGGCCTTGTTCCTGTTCTGTGTCTCTGGCTTGTTCCCTGTTCTTCGTTGATGGTTTTTGGTTTTGTCTTCCAGGTCCTGTTCCCCGGTCTCGTCTCGTCCGTCGCCTCCTCTCGGGCGCGCCCGGTGTGCGCACCTTTGGGGGGGGTTTCTGTCACACCCCGCTCTGTCCGCTCCTGATGTGTGCCACGCCCACCTTGTTACCTCGTGTTCAGCCCTGATTGTGATCACCTGTGTCCTGTTATGTCTAGCTTGTCTTTTGTATTCAGTCCTCGTCTGAGTCAGTCTTCCCCAGACTCATCATTGTATCGTCCGTAGATGTCCGTCGTTCGTCAAATAAAACCACGTTTACCTGAAGTCCTGGCTGCAACTCGCCTGCTTTCCGGCTTGCCTGATCCCGAACGTGACACCAGACTAATATTTTTGCACAGGGTCAATTAAACATGAAAAGGGCGAGATATCAGACTTCTTTATAAAGAAGCACAAACAGGCAGATCAGGTTCAAACAGACAATAATCCCACTGGATCCCACAGCAGCTCCATACCTGAGACTAGTTAGAGTCAGTGTGGTCAGACTTCAGATCCACCAGCAGGTCAGAGCATCTACCAAGCAATCACATGTTTCAAACAATGTTAGAATTTAAGCTGAGCTTCAGGAAAGTTCAACTAAAAAAATCTAATCCTGTCATTACTTAACTCACAACAAAGTGAGTAGATGATGAGTAAATTATATTTTCATATTTTGAATTATATGTTGGTAATGAAATAGATTTGGGTTTTCTAAACACTTTCATTGTGTTTGTGTGTGTGTGCGCATCTTTGTGACGTATCAGGATACAAATTTGTATAATGGTATGAGTATGACAGGTATTTCAGGAGAAGGTGACTTATGAGGACATTGCCCATGCAATTTTCATTTTCCAAAAGGCTTATAAATATTTTTAAATGTTCCCTGTGAGGGTTGGATTAGGGCAATAGAAAATAGTTTGTAGAGTATATAAACAATGGAAACCTATAGAATGTCCTCACAATTCACAAAAACGTGTGTGTGTGTGTGTGTGTGTATTTTCACTATTCTATGAGAACTAATGGATTGTGTTGTAAATAGATGTATCAAGGGATGACACAGAGACCTCTGGCTCTGAGCGAGACAGAGAGCCAGAGCTGACAGAAGATGTCATCGAGCCCCTTCCAGCTGCATCAGTATTTTTTTTTTGGTTGTTTTTTCTTTATGCTAATGTTTTTGTGAATGAACTCAGCATTGTTTTTGAAAATAAAACTTTTCAATTCCTTAATTTATTATTTCAACTTTATGAGTACAGTGCGTGTGTGTGTGGACCCCCTGAAATAGCAGTGGCCACCTCCTGGCCCCCCCCATCTAAAAAATTGTAGCTCCGCCACTGTTGTACCCGTGCGGCAAAAGTAGCAGTCGTTGAGATGGTCTCGCGGTTCCCTCCACACCATTGGAATTCCAAGTGGCATCGCTGCCTTTCGCCATTTGAGCCAGTCACGCAGACCATTTGAACAACTGGTACAGATGACATGTGGAGTCCAAGATTTATCCTGGTCTCCAGGTGGACAGCCAAAGTATAATTTATATATCTTCTTAAGATCTGCAGTGATTGGGCGACATTGTGNCATTAAGCTCATACACTGTCAGCTGCAGGGATTTGGCAGAGACTGGTGGCTGTATGGGGCAGGTTGGTTGTCACCACTGGGTCTCAGTTTAATATGTGACTTTTTAGTGTTTATTTGCATTATGCTGGGTTGTGAAGAGTTGTATTTTCTCAAATGGGCCTTAAATGGTATTTTTCCAAATCAATATGTTAACCCCTGTCACCCCAGGTTAGTTAAACCCTGTTATCTGGCACCTTTGTCCCACCAGACCTCTGACCCAGAGTAACCCACAGTGACTTCAATATGTTGGCGTCATCAGGCTGTGACCTGCAGCAGGCACTGAGGCGGTTTGCAGCTGAATGTGAGGCGGCTGGGATGAGGATCAGCACCTCCAAGTCTGAGGCTATGGTTCTCGACTGGAGGAGAGTGGATTGCCCTCTACTGGTGGGAGGTAAGTTACTGCCTCAAGCAGAGGAGTTCAAGGGTCCCGGGGTCTTGTTCACGAGTGAGGGAAAAAGAGAGCAGAAGATCGACAGATGGATTATAGTGTATTATAGATGAGACCTTCATAAAGCATTCATAATGCACAATATACATGGCAAGAATGTGTTATGAATGTGTTTATAGATTGTTATAGATATGATATTCATGGAAAATGGTTTCCAAATCATTATTGCTTAATTATTACTAAATGATTTAAAAATGTGTAAATGATTGGTTCATCATTAGCTACAGGCTTAGTAATCATTTAGGAATGATTTATGATCATTTCCTGCTTTAATCATTTATAAATGTTTACTAAGGTTTTGCAAATGATTAGTTAGCCCTTAACTATATGCTTATAAATGTCTTATTGAGAATTTGTAAATGATTTGTTCATCAGTAACTACAGGCTTCTGAGTGTCTTACTGAGGTAAATGATTAGTTAATGTTTCACTAAAGGCTTATATGTGTGGTATAACTGAACATTATTATAAGGTGTTACCGTTAATAGTAACTGCTTTTTTGTTTTACACCATTTCGGCTTAACAATAGTTTAATTGAAATGCTTTATGTTTGTAAAGTATTTTCACTATTCTATGAGAACTAATGGATTGTGTTGTAAATAGATGTATCAAAGGATGACACAGAGACCTCTGGCTCTGAGCGAGACAGTGAGCCAGAGCTGACAGAAGATGTCATCGAGCCCCTTCCAGCTGCATCAGTATTTTTTGTTTGGTTGTTTTTTCTTTATGCTAATGTTTTTGTAAATGAACTCAGCATTGTTTTTGAAAATAAAACTTTTCAATTCCTTAATTTATTATTTCAACTTTATGAGTACAGTGCGTGTGTGTGTGGACCCCCTGAAATAGCAGTGGCCACCTCCTGGCCCCCCCCATCTAAAAAATTGTAGCTCCGCCACTGTTGTACCCGTGCGGCAAAAGTAGCAGTCGTTGAGATGGTCTCGCGGTTCCCTCCACACCATTGGAATTCCAAGTGGCATCGCTGCCTTTCGCCATTTGAGCCAGTCACGCAGACCATTTGAACAACTGGTACAGATGACATGTGGAGTCCAAGATTTATCCTGGTCTCCAGGTGGACAGCCAAAGTATAATTTATATATCTTCTTAAGATCTGCAGTGATTGGGCGACATTGTGCTTTCGTTGTGAATGAACCACACACATAACAGAAACTGTCTGGATGATTAATACAATTTCTAGGCATAATAACAACTGAAAGCCAACACAGTTGATGCTGTCTGTCACCTCCGCCTTCGATTTCCAGGTCGATGACCCAGAATTCAAACTTGAGAGTTAGACTTAGTATTTCTTTTGCAACAATTCGAGAAATAATAAAAAATTTGTCAAGAAGCTTACATCAGCAAAACGAAACCTGAGGCACAACTACCTATGTTTCCCGCCAAACTAAGTTGTATAACACATGCGCATGCGCACTAGGTCAAATTAATTATACTCAAATCGCAACTAGACAAGTGTCAATAAAACATAAATCAATATCTAGTCACCTAGAGAATGGTGATGCTGTCTAACCTAAAAAACACAGACAACTCTTGTAATACACTTAGGCAGACTGCATGTACATAATATCATACTACATATAGGTTCATCAGAAAAACTTGACATGCTAGAGAAAAACAAAAGACAGAATTGAAATCAGCATGTAAAATAACCAACATAAACTTACCTCTGATGAAAATGAACTGTTAACCTGTGTTATTTTAGGCAGGACAACCTCTAACTGATGAGCAAGAACCTTGGCCATAATTTTGCAATCAGTGCTGATTAAACTAATAAGTCGGTAAGAGGAGCAATTTTTGTGGTCCTTTCCCTTCTTGAGGAGCAGGCAGACTGAGGCACTATTCCATATATCAGGTACTGAGCCAGAACATAGTAAGTCTTGGGGTACAGGCATGAGGATTGGATGAAGTTCAGGCCAGAATGCCCTTATAAAACTCAGCTGGGTACCCATCCGGACCAGGTGACTTGTTAGAGGGCGTAGATCGAAGGGCTGCTAAAACCTGACCTAAAGAGATGGGACCATTGAGGCTTTCCCTGTCTTCATCTGACACAGTAGGTAATGGTATTTTATCAAAAAAATATTCCATTTCGGACTGTGAGACCACACTCTGTGATTTATAAAGGCATTCATAATAATTCCACCACCCCCCACCTGCCCCTGATCCCCTAATTTGCCTCTCCAGTTATCAGGCAATAGGATTGTCTGATAACTGATAACAGTGTATCAAAATAAAAGCCACGAGACATATAATGCATTTGCTGTAAAGCACTTTACTGTAAGTAGCAGGCCAAAACTATACGCTTCACACTATTATAATATATTTTATTCATTTGTTGCTTTTACACATTCAAAGTGGATACAATACATAAATAACTTTAAGACTTCAGAATTATCCCCACTAAAATAATAATTTAGCTGTTCATATAGGTAACTGTACTTGGCAAAAGCATGAATGAATTTCTACTGGTTTTAATCTCTCAAAAAAATAAATCACCATGTAAAAATAATCATTCCTTTACAAAACAATTGCATTTGATACAAGGAATTGTTTTGAGCAATTTGCTGAATAAACTCATTGTTATTATTTAATGGAACTCATATCTAAATGCAAAAATCTTAAAATTTTACGTAAAATTTGACTGCCTAAAATATTTTATTTCCACCTATGAATAACTGATATGGATAATATAAGGCACCTGTATAATTTTTGTATATTGACTTTCATGTTCATTATTTCCCCATTTTCCACAAAAGATTGTCAGGCCACCAGCCAGCAGAGGGCGCCATTGAGCAGTTCCACCATGCCCCTCTAACTATTCTAACGAGTTTCTGGCAGCACACCTGCAACCAATGGACCAATCACCTCTTTGTAGTTAAGCCCAGTGTTTCTTGCAGCCCTGGTTCAGTCACTGAACCTGTACCCATGTGTGCTCCAGCCCTGTTAATCACCTTGTTGTGTCTGTCCCATTGGATCAGTCCTCTCAGCTGTGGTCCCAGTCTGAGTCTGAGTTCCAGAACGGTGAAGGTTTCTTGGGAGGAGACCTGGATCTGAGAGGGGTTTGGCTCCAGTAAGTTCACCTTTGGCACTTTCACATCGTAGGAACATTTTTCTGGAACCAGAACCTTTTTACAGTACAGCAAACTTTTGTTGTGTTCACACTACAGGAACTCAGCCCGACTGGAACCCTTCCCTTTTTTAGGACCTACTCTAGACTAGGTACTTTTCCTTTGAAAATTAACTACTGGGGAGGTGCTTACATTGATAGCTTGCTGTGGTTGACCATAGGCACTGCCTCTAACTTGGCAGTTTTGTGGAAGTGCAGAGAAAATAGATGCAACTAGCTGAGCAAAAATTGGGCAATTGGCATTATTTTTGTACTTCAGTTAAATATAATAATGCATGTCCTTGAATCTCCATATTTCTTCATCAGACAATTTGATCGATAACTAATATACTTTTCTCTATCACGTTAAGATATCTGCCGACAGTGCAGATATAAGGTTCACTGGCATGAAATGAAGGTCCATTCAGTATTTCACAGAGCTGGCAGCAAACAGGTCACAGCCAGTAGTCAAATTTCATACTATGTTTCATAGTAGTCATTTAGTTAATTGTGCTGGGATACATCTAACTGCCTGTTAACCTAATCAACACAGTTTGACTGTACTGTTGACATAAAACCCAGGATAGAGGGGCTCAGTGAACGTGGCCTGGACCCTGTGCAGGAGGGTCACTGTGTCAGAGATGCTGTAGAAGGACAGATTTCCTGCCCTGTGATCCAGGTACACTCCTATCCTGGGGGAGGGGGAGCCAAATATCACAGTTTTCTCTTTATTGTACCGGAACGAGTAATTGGAGGGGTAGCAGTACAAACACCAGGACTTGTCATTGAATCCAAGCCAGCTGTCATCACTCTCTCCTTTCCTGCTGATTCCTTTATATGTGACAGCTATACCGGCCCCAGTCCCACTCCACTCAACCTCCCAGTAGCAGCGCCCAGTCAGACCCTCTGTACACAGCACATAGAGGCGTGGGTCAAACCTCTGCTGGTGACCAGGATATGACTGTGTCTCTTCCTTCCATGTCACCACTCTGTTCCCCTCAGACAGATGGAGGTTTCTGTTTGCTGTGTTGGGGTCCAGAGTGAGCTGACAGGAATCTGATGGAGGAGAAGATCAGAAGGTGATGTTTTGGTCTCATACACTCCTTACATTAAACAGGAATGTGCAATTGAAATGTATAGTCAATTTCTGTATTTTGTTAATTTTACATAGATTTTCATCTTAAGAGCATTTGTAGTGTTTTTGGAAAATAGGTTTTAGATTAATTTATGTTATAACTGAAAACCCTTTAATATATCAGTGCCCAATAAGTAAAATATTATTAAACAACTTTGCAAACAGCTCATGTAAATGTGAAAGACCAGGAGGCAGCGGGAGAGAGAAAGAGAAGCTCCACTAGCAGAAGAAAATGAAAGACAATAAAACACACTCCACCTCATACAGGGAGAGAGAAGCGTGTGTGTGAACAGACTCACATTGTAAGAATTCTGCTCTGTTCCTGGGAACTAATACCGGTAGGATGGTGTCTTTGGTAACTAGGAGGAGACAGAGAGAAACAGGGATGTGAGTAAAAGGAATTTACTTGTGGGAGATGGACTTCACTCACTGAGGAGACACCAGCAGTAGATTATTATCATTATGAAGGACAATAACAGGAATTTCAACAAGCTGCAAATCATTTTAAGTTACACAGTGCAGATTTTTGGTTTATGTAATGTAGAAGAAACATGATTCATGTGATCTTGGTTTTGCAGCCTGTAAAATTTAAAGCTCACTGTTTTTCACAAAGAGTCTTATTAAAAACCGAAACTGACTTGGTCACACCTTGCGTTATCCTGCAAGGCCAAGCCAGGCAACTTGTCAGAGGCAGCACCTATACCAACAAGCTTAATGACACACCTACTCCTGCACTCAGTGTGAGTTACTGTTGCCCATGCGCCATGCTGAGCATCACTGCTCTGTCCTGTCCTCCTTCCCGTCTGCCTGAGCCTCACCAGTTCCAGTCCCTTTCCATTCCTGCCTCCCTCGGACCTGCCTGTTGTTGTCAACCCATCTCTCAGGACCGACTTCCTCAGCTTTCAACCTCCCTGGATCTGTGACCCTGACCGGCCTGCCTGCTCAAAGATACAAGCTCTGTTTGCCTAGTTCCCTGAATAAACTCCCCTTCTCCACATATTGTCTCCTTGCTTCTGTGCTTCCTGGGTCTGACACCCATAATACAGACTTCTGGGTTCTATAATGGTTTCTTCTATAACAGAAGACAGGGTTGCAGCCTGTAGAATTTTGAGCTCTCTGGTTTTCATAAACATATAGTCTAATTGAAAACAGAAACTGACTTGGTCACACAAACGTGAGGCTGACTGTCATGGTGGTGTGGCATGGTGCAGGCGGGAAAAACACTGATTATCCCCTGACGTCTCTGAGACAAAGGGGGTTTATTGATAAAACTGAATACATTGGGGTAAAACCACAAAAATAAATGGATCCTGTGGCAATCTTTCAAAGGGAGAAAACACAGGGGAACAGAAAACCACTAGTTCACAATAAGCAGATGAGCAGATGAAGCTGGAAACCCATGACTAATAGGTTACCAGCATCTGAGCCACATACACATACCCATCAAGCTATGCGGCAGTCTGGGGAGTAGGGGAATCATACAAGGGTACCAGATAAGCAACAACAAGATGGGATGGCCAGCGACACCTACTGGCCAAATCAGGAAGAGATACGAAGGGCAGAGTCGGATGGACGCTAACCCAGACAGCTGACCATACTGCATGCTCTCTCTGCATGGTCTGTGTTAACATGAACAGACAGGAAAATGTATTTATTTATTAACCTGTGTGATGGATCTCTGTCATTTTCTTTTTGCAAACATTCTCCAGTTGATCCTTCAGCTCAGAAACCACCTTCCTCACATTCCCAAAAGAGCAGCGTGGATAGACAGAGATTCTGGGTCCAAATCCAGCTTCAGGGGTGATATGAAGACCCTGGCACCTCTACAAACACAGAAATTAAGTGGCTACATCAAAACAAATGTGTACTGGAATCAGATTAACATGACCATTAACATCTGACAAATGAAAGACTAGTTGAAATTAGAGATAAAGATCATATATAATGATCATGTTGCTCAGACAGAAGCTATGCTACTGTGCTACAGGAGGAAATCCATGGCCAGAATGCTTCTTTGTTTTGTTCAGTAACAACTTTTACAAAAACGAACAGAAATATTTCTTAAAGTGCAAATTGTGCAACTAAATATAATAGTAAATAATAAATCATAAAATATCACTGTACACTAGGTATACCTGGTGTTAATGATTCCTCTTTGCTTGTCATTTTGTCAAGTGTTCACTCCAATCATATATTTCTTGTTTTTGGTACCACACTATTACGTAAATATCCCAGATCTGAAATGTTAGTTTATATTTCCATCAGTTTAAATTGCTGCTAGCCAAAGACATGGTATTTTGGTATGCTTATAGCTCATAGCTTTGGTTCATGCCGAATTGAAATATGAAGTTTTGTGTATTTTGTGTTTGTTAATAGCATAATAGTGACAGCCATCAACGGCATATTCAGTCACCCCATCTGACTGGGTACCTAACGAGACACATACACACACACTCAGACACAAGTGCAGCTGCCGTCCAGAAATTTATTAAACAGACAGAGAACACAAAGAGTACAAGATGGTAAAATCTGGCTGAATATCTCATTTTGGGCCGGTGAGGATCGCTCACAAGCAGCCTGTCAAACAGGGTCCCCCCTGCTTCTGGTCCTGCAGGGCTGGACAGTAACACAGTTTGCAGATTTCCCTGCTCATGCCAGCCCATTTCTAGTCAAAAAGTGCCCATAAGGCTCTAGTATAAAATATACAATGGCAAACAGTAATTAGCCNTTTGCAGATTTCCCTGCTCATGCCAGCCCATTTCTAGTCAAAAAGTGCCCATAAGGCTCTAGTATAAAATATACAATGGCAAACAGTAATTAGCCGAACTTTAGAAAGAATGCTAGTCTGAAGTAGGGCTGCCACTAACGACAATTTTTCTACGCATTAATCTATTGATTCATCTAAACGATAATTTTTTTTTTCTTTCTAGAATTAGTTTTTAATCGTGTTTGTTATACCGTGTTGCAAATACAGAGTAGCCAGATTGGTGCACAAAGACACATTTTATTTTCCCTGATCACATGAGCACTTAGGTGAGCTTGTCTTTACAAGGCTGATGGTGATCGCCATCATTTTATTTGAGCTCATTTACATTTAATTATTTATTGATATTTATGAACATGAATACAGATATTTATGAAAGAATACAGTTGTTTAAGATTGTATGTGGTGTTTTAATCATAATTTTTAAAAGAATAATAATTAGTTGAAAAAATATTTTTTTATCAGTATTTTTTTTTATCAATTACTAGACCTTTCAGGGAACCCCATTTTAATTCCAGGCAACCCCACGTGGGGTCACGACCCCAAGGTTGAAAAACACTGGCATAAGAACCGAAGTCAAGAAAGGGACAGCTCAGCAACCACAGCATCTTTTAAAATAGGAGATATGGTGGATAAACAAGGTAAAAAGATGCCAGTAATATGGATCTGCTTTTTGTCTGACACTTATTCAGTGGCGATTGTAAGATAGCAGGTCGCTTTATGACTTTATGCTTTTAATAATTAGCATATTTAGCAGCTACGAAAAATATTTTAAAACCATCCATACTAATGGTAATATAATAAACACGAATAGATAACACTTATGGTGGTTTGTGTTATTCTGGCCGTCCAGAATAGCGCCCGTTTGTTTTCTCATCAGGCGCTTGTGCATAGAGCCAGTGGTCCTGTAGTATGCCATCGAACTTTGCACAGTATAAAACCACCCTTTTCGTGATAATTTGAACTAATCATTGTGTAGTGAAATTAAAGGAAAACCTTTGTTATAAGGAAGTATTTTGGAAATCATAATAGTAGTTTCGTTCAACTAAAAATAATGATGCGTCGATTTAAATTATTGATGTCGACTTATTTTCAACCTCGAAGTCATCGATTATGTCGACTAATCGTGGCAGCCATCTCTAATGAAAACATATGAAAACATACATCCATTTCCATAATCGTTTTTTACTATTGTGAAAGTAGATGTTCTGTTACCTGGAGGAAATGGATGTGATCCTCTGTGTGTGAAAGCTGCTCCAGCTCAGAGTGTCTCCTCTTCAGTTCATTGATCTCCTGCTCTAGTATCTCCATGTGTCGTTCAGCCGGACTCACTGCAGCCTTCTCCTGAGCTCTGATCAGCTGTATCATCATAGAACGTCTTCTCTCAATGGAGCGGATCATCTCAGTGAAGATCCTCTCACTGTCCTCCACTGCTGACTGTGCTGAGCTCTGTTGGTGACACAGGGAGCAGAGGAAAGTAAATTACAATTGGCCCCTTTTGAGACTCCAGAGAGCCTCATTGTACAATAGTGATGTGAGCCAACAGGAGGTATAAAAACAGCACAGGGCTGGGGTTTGGAGCGTCACAATGCTGGATGCCTCAGGTACTGAAACCCAGCCAGCACTGATTGGAAATGATCCCTCATTAAGCTCATACACTGTCAGCTGCAGGGATTTGGCAGAGACTGGTGGCTGTATGGGGCAGGTTGGTTGTCACCATTAGGTCTTAGTTTAACATGTGACTTCTTGGTGTTTATCTGAATAACATTGGGCTGTGGAAAGTTGCCTTTTCTCAAATGGGCCTTACATGGTACTTTTCTAAATAAGCTATTACTGCTGTAACCCTAGGCTAGTTTAAACCCAGGTATCTGCCAGCTTTGTCCCACCAAACTTTTGGATCAGAGTAACTCACAGTGACCTTAATATGATTAATTCCCAGAAGTCTGTAAATCTGTTGAATCTGAGAGAAGATTCAAAATAATTATAGACCAGCTGTTATCTTCTCCTCAGGTTCATACTCACTGTGATTGAGGCCACAGCCTTTCTCAGCTCCTGCAGCTCCTTCTCTTGCATCTGAATTTTCTGCTGAAATTTCCTCTGTGTTTCACCCATTTCTTTCTACTCATAGGAAAAAGATGACAAAACAAATTTCTTCTAGTAACAGAGAATATATTTAATCATCCACTCCAGGATGGACCCCAGCCTTGTGCCCCATGCTGCCTGGGAAAGGATCCAGGTCCCCATGACCCTGACCGGGATAAGCAGTTAGCAGATGGATGGATGGATGGATTTTCTTAAATGATTTACTGACTGTAGGAAGGATAACCTGGACAAAGACCCTTTGACTCACCACTGCTGTACTGAGCTGTTATTTTTGCACTTGTGACCTTCCTGTTAGCTTTAACAAGTCTGGTCAGTCTCCTGTGACCTCTCTCACTAATAAGGCGTTTTCTCCTACACATCTGTAGAACCAGAACATTTGGCTCAACACTTACATTTTAAAGCCTCTTAGCCATGCAAACGCTCAACCAAACAGTAATGGTGTGACAGTGTGTATCGGAGAAGCAGCACAGAAGCCGTGAGGTCGGGTAAATGGGGATTTATTCAGAGGATATAACCAAAAAACACAGAACACGCAAGACTGATGTCAATGACTGGACAGGGGTAAGACTAACTTGGGAGCACTTAGATACACAGACTCAATTAACAAGACTAGACAAAGCTGGTAACAAAGGGGTTTCACACAAGGTTAATGAGGGGGCGTGGCACAAGGGGGTGTGGCACAAGGGGAGCGTGGCACAAGGGGGTGTGGCACAAGGGGAGCGTGGCACAAGGGGTGTGGCACAAGGGGGCGTGGCACAAGGGGGCATGGTACAAGGGGGGCGTGGCACAAGAGGAGCAGCACAATCGGGACTTAACATAATGGTGCTTTTCCACTGGTATACAGGAACTGAGCCGTACTGTGAAGAGAGACTGGTTACAACTCACTTCGATTTTCTACTGCTGAAGGGTCGGCTCAGTAAAGGCGTTGCCGGCTTTGGAGAGTGACAGTAATGTAAAACCGAAGAGATGCTTTCTTACTGTTTACATGCCTTTACTATGTGCTAATTTCTGCTAGCACGTCTGTGAGAATTGCCGTCTTTTGCTAGCATCAAACACTAGTGAAATGAGCATTAGCCTGCATAAATTTGCATTATCAATTCATTCCATTCAGCTGTTCTACAGTACTTTTTTTAAGTAGATGGTTGGAAATTTTCAAGTTCCGAGTTATAGAGACTGCATCAATACATTGCAATGTGTGATATGACTAATAATGAATAACATGTAGAATCTGCCCTTTTTTCCTTCAGATAATACATGCATATTGATGCAGAACACTTGTTCGTCCCTGCATTTCAACTACGCAACCAGCTCAGTTTCGTCACACTTTCAATATATGTATGGCTCGGATAATTTACAATGGACAACTGTGTGTTCGCAGTACAGTTTGGTTCTCGATGGCAGTGGGAAAGTGTAAGTGAACCTCTTGACCCTGTTTGCTTGTGTCACATTGGTGGGGAGAAGCACGACCAAGAATGCAGTGTGCAGTGCAAAACCTCTTCGTGGGGCATTTATTTGAAAGGCAGGAAAACAAAGAGAAACATGGGAAACAGAAACAAGGACTATACTACGACACGGTGCTTGAATACAAAGGAGAGAAGCGGAAAACAGGAGACAGCTGGGGCAATTATTGAGGGGGCAGTAACAAGAGTTAAGGCAAACCCACCCTGGGAGTGGCCACACCAGGGAGGAAACAGGAGGGGCAAAGCATACATGATGGGCAAAGCGGACAGGACATGATAGCTTGCTGTATGTATTTACCTGCAGCCATATGATTCGCTGTTTCATTTTTTTAGTAGAAATTTTATAAGAAATCCTGACATGGTTTTTCACCATTGAGAACACAGGTACTGATGAAAGTGGAACAAGCTAAAATTTCTCATAAATTGGTTACAGGAAATTTTCAGTAACACACATTTTGTGTAAATTTTTTTTTTTGCTTTACCAAACCAGGCTTGATATTTATTTCATGCAAAATTCATAATATATATATATATATAATATAAATATAAAATATATAACATTTCTGGCCTGACCTGTTTCTCTGCCCTTCCTGCAGCAGCTGAGACTGTATCATGGCCTCTGTGTTCATACATCATACAGAGATCACAGATACACTGCTGGTCGGTACGGCAGTAGACCTCCAGGGGTTTGTCATGCTGGGAACAGACCTTGTCCTGCAGACGTCCAGTGGCATCAGTCAGTTTGTGCTTCTTAAAAGCTGGAGACTCATAGTGAGGCTGGAGGTGAGTTTCACAGTAAGAGGCCAGACACACCAGGCAGGACTTGACAGATTTGCGTTTTCTCCCATTACAGAAATCACACTCCACATCTCCAAGTCCAGCATAATGGTCAGCAGGAGTAGCTGCTTGTATTACAGTCTTCTTCAGTTTCTCCACCACTTCAGCCAGGATGGTGTTTCTGCCCAGAATAGGTCTGGGTATGAAGATCTGTCTGCACTGGGGGCAGTTGTAAACTCCAGCGTGATCCTCCTGATCCCAGCAGCTCTTAATGCAGCTCATACAGTAACTGTGTCCACAGTTGATAGTCACTGGATCCTTCAGTAGGTTCAGACAGATTAGACAGCTGAACTGATTCTGATTCACTGTGACACTGGCTTCTGCCATTTTACCACGAACACTGATAGGATTCAGTTTCGTTTTCTCTCACAGTCGTCTGTGTGTGAGAGTGGGAGGAACTTCCTGCTTCTCAGGCTGCAGTAGGTGTGGTTTTGGACTGAGGCCAGACTAAAGTAGTACTTCTTAGAAATTTTGTACCTAACCAACTCAATTTTTATTTGTCATATAACTGTTACTGACGTTTTATTCCACAAATAAGGTATAATCCTACAATATGTTGTTGTAGATAAGAATTAGGTAAAATGCAAAAAAGCAGGAGAGCAGTTATTTTGAGAATAAATGTCTGTGTTTGTTTAGATGCTTGTAATTTGTTTTTTGGCTCCAGATTAAGCAGATTTACTGCAAAAAGCTGATGGGTTTGAAGCTGTCATGTAGTAGCAGGTGTAACATGCAGGTGGAATTATCAGGTATAGACAGAGCAAGGTTTTGCAGGTACTGATCTGGTAATCCATATGTAGCCAAGTGGGGAATATTGATCGGCTCGCCCTATTGGTTCCCCTGTGTTCTGGGCGGGGCTTAGTGCTGTATATAGTGGGTGGATGGGTAGATATGGCGTAGCAGCGGTTCCTTGTGCTGGTTGCGGAGATAGTAGCCGTGGGGTGAGTGCGCAGGGGGGTTAATTGGCGCACTCGTTATCATCCCTTAAGTATCGGTGGGTTTGCTGGGGGTCGAGCGGTTGTTGTAATGCACGCCTTTGGAGAGCTGTGTCCAATTGCCGGTAAGCCCTTTACTTCAATATGCGTGCCCCGCGATTATAAATACCGTCATTAAGTAGCTTGTGGTCTTGTAGTTGGGGAGGCGGTGAAGGCAGCTCCAGCGGTGTTATAGTTCCTCATGCTGGCGGTTTACTGGGGTCGTGGACATCGCCGCTGTTTTGTTAGTGCTGGGCAGTAGCCACTGTTGCAAACTCCTCAGCAAGGAAAGTCGCTATTGGCTGTCCTAAAAGTCGCTAGAAGTCTCTAAATGACGCCATCGCCTCACTTGCATAACGTGCATGTTAATCGTAATGGACGCTGTAGGAGAGATGAATAATGCCGTGGAAGAGACAGAAATTGATTAAATACCATATATGTTTAGAACTACAAATGAACTTTATTCTCTATGTATATATATCTCAGTTCCAACCCTCTTCCTACATCCGGGCTTGGGACCGGCAAAAGTGACCCCAAATAGTCCCTCTGACGGAGTTACTTCAGCCAGCTGCGGATTCGCGCATGCGCGGTTTACTTACAGTCGACGCGGAGGGGTGAACGTCTCCTGCTCTGACTGCAGCTGGGCAGGGCTGCTGCGCGAGGACCGGCGGACTGTGAATGCTTTGGGGCGTGAGGGGAGCCCACTGCAGCACCCGCTGCTCGGGGAGAAGAGTAAGAACGATACGTGCGTCAAGTCTCTAATAAGACCAGAAAAAGTCGCTAGATTTGTCGCTACTCGCTTTTTTGAAAACTAGTCGCTAGAGGTGTCTGAACTTGCTAAATATAGCGACGAAGTTTGCAACACTGCGGGTAGCCCAGCGTGGAACCTTGGTGCCCGGAGCTTCCTGGAGTGGCGCCGTTCCGCTGCCGATCTCTGCGTACAGCCTATATGCTGCCTCAAGATCTTGTATTGGTTCTTTGGCTTGATTCATTGTATTGCATGGATTGTTTTGCATGTCTTTGGTTTATCTTGATTTATTTTGTGTTTTGGTTGAGCTTTGGGTGGTCAAGCAAGCGTTGCGGGATGACGGAAAGTGGGTACCATACTAACCTGGTGTCCTGTCTCTCTGCCTGTGTTTCAGGGCTAATAGCCTTGCGGCACCTTCCTGGCTGGTTGTGGACCTCACCCGTGTGCAGTACAAGTCACTGGTATTGGCTCACCGAGTACGTCTGTGTGCTCACGTGACGTACCCACGGAGGTCCCGCCTGTGGAGAGTTCCTGGTCCAGAGATCAGTTGTGCTTTTATCTGGCTTGGTCTGCTGCAGGGATTTGGCTCCGACGGGATTTAGATCTATTGTGTGTAGCGTGGAATTACGAATCTCCCTTTGAATAATAAAATAACTTACTGATTCACGTCTCCAGCCTTTTTCGCTGGATTGAACCTGTGTGCTGTTATCTGAGAGTTGGGTTATCATATTTCCCCCGGGTGCACTGTCCCCGGCGTGGCGTAGTCGGCTATTCACAAAGTGTATTGTAGATCGCTCTGCCACACATAGAATTGACTTGCATTGGTCAACATTTAGGTTTTTTTTTTTTTTTTTTTTTTTGTATGTGTATAGTGGGGCTGTATCTGTTTTTGGAAGGAGAGTCAGGTGACCAGGTTCAGAGTGATTATTAATATGCTATCAGAAGGTTTTCTGGATGTAATGTAAATTGTAAACATAGACTGGAAAGTGTCCAACAAATTTTAGTAACTGTTGGGTACAGGGTTATGGGACACAGCGGGGAGTCTAACAGGAAGCACAGGGCCCAGGGCAGGGAGACCCTGGATGGGAAGCCAGTCCATCACAGGGCAAACACTCACTCGCATGCTGACGACAACTTGGAGACACTAATTCACCAAACCGTATGAATGTGAAATTGTGCACAGCTGAATGGTTTCAGAGCTCCACCTTCAAAAGGCCCCATATGTAATATAATTAGCATATAAATGAGGTTGAATCCAAGTCCATATCCAGGGATTGATATAACTGGTACACATTCAGCTTTAAAAGCGATGCATGTGGCAATCGATTGTTGTAACAGCGTGAATACATGTATTATGTGCATTTGTGCCAATATGACAAATTATCGTGCATCTTAACCTTTATATGGTCATTTGTACTTCATTTAGGGCAGGGGTGTCAAACTGCAGTCGTGGGGGGCCACAGCCCTGTGTAGCTTAGTTCTTTCCCTGTTCCACCACAAATGATTCCGCTCAACAGCTATGTGGTAATTAGCACAAGAAGTTGAATCAGGTGTGTTAAACGAGGGGAAACCCAATAATGTGCAGGGCTCTGGTCCCCCAGGACTGGAGTCTGACACCTGTGATTTAGCTTGATCAACCTCGAGCATGTTTCTTAAGCGTAGCTCATACTTGACAAAATTAGCTGGGACCCCCAACCCCCCCTGCTTATAGTGGATTTTATCACCAAGATATCAAAATGCCGGAATAGTGCTGCTTTTTAAAATACTGTTTTACCTCTGTATGTCTGGACAGTATGAGAAATTAGATATGCGGGTACCTCCAACCCTCCTCATACTAGAACTATAACAAGTATTCTTCCTCTATTAGATCATTGACCGCTGATCTGTGAGACTCCACCCTGTCACCTATTGGACATACCTAATCCATTATCTTGTGCAGTCGATGTGCACAGTCATGCAAGGTTTCTGCTAGACATAAAAATCTGGGCTACACTTGCACTGACCTCAGTCATCTGCAGCCAACCCCTGATAACTAAATTTACGTATGAATACGGTCACATTTCATTAGTGATAAACACCCCTATTGCTTAAATGGGGAGACTAACTTGCAGAAGCTGTTTCTCTCTTGCTAAGTTCAAACACACACGCAGATGATGTCTCCTAAAATGACTTGGTGTTTAGAATGTGGTTCCATCAACATATCCAAGTTTGGCACAACAGAGTCTTGGTTCCATCAGCTACTCTCTGTCAAGTGTTGATGTTTCCAGTTCAGTTCAACTGTTCACTCTTCATATTCTGCTTGTGTTTCCAGTTTAGTATAACAGTTCCTTAGCTGCATGATATCCGTTCTGGAGCCTTAATGGACAAATAGCACACATAAAAAGATAAGCATGGTACTGACTGCTTTATTTATGATTGGGGGGGGGGGGTCAGTGGTGAATCCCGTCATTGCCAGAATCCCTTTCATCCATCAGAGTGCAAATCATTTGGACCAGATGTCTTGTCCTTTTAGGTTCGAAAGATCAATTTCTCCCAGGATTGAAGCTCCTCCTTGTCTTACAAACTAAACACCACCAGAGGGCACCGTTCCGCAAATATTACTTCATTAGTTAGTCAATGTGTGTGAATAAAAAGTAACAGCACGATAGGTAAATACACCATAAAGAATAATTATTACGACATCGTGAAAAATTTGAGAACCAAGAGATCCCAATCTAACTGGAATACATAATGATTCAGCAGGAAATGGTAATACTTTCACATGAATGAATACATACCTTTTATTGTCACTATACACATGTACAATGAGATTAAAAGCAGCTCCTCTAGTGCAAACATGTATGTAGTGCACATCCTGTTCCCCAAATAGTTAGTAATAATAATAATAGTCACAAAGGGACGAATGACAGCAAACTAAAGGGGTTTAATTAGGAATTCAAGCAAAACTGTAGCTAGAAACAAACACAACCTCGAGGGGTCAAAACAGGAGGATCACACTGACTGGGAACGCGTACGGGCCAACAAGCGTAGCGACATTAATGGCTGGACTGGGGAGCACTGGACTAACAAAGGGGTAAACGAGGCACATGGAGTGAATCACACAAGGGCAAGAACGAGAGGTAAGACAAACGTAGCAGGAGAAAACGGGAGGGGCAGGTAGGCAGGGCGTGACAACAACAACAGCAATAATAATTATACATTTAAATAACTATTGTTTCTGTCCAGATAGCAATACTTAAGGAATGCAACAAATCAAAATTCCCGAATGGGATTTAAGAATGTAAAAACACTTAGTCACACGTAGCATAACGCCAAGTCAAAATAAAGTTAAGTACCTGGAGAAACTGCTGACCACACGATGACCATATAGTGGTAAAATAAGGGTTAGGCCACTTAAAATTAATAAATTGTTTTACATGACCGCCCACCTCAATTTTTTGGTGCCGCCTCGATTTTTTTAATGTTTTATATTTTTTAAAAAAATCCGTTTTTTTCACCTCAAAAACTGTGGGTGAAAAATCTTGAATGTCAGCCTCGGATTTTTCAATTTGACGCTTCTCGGACAATGGTTTTTATCATTTGTCAGATTGTGTGTGGGCCCACGGTATTAAAATCTTGGCAGGGCATCAATATACCGAGTAATAGGCTATATATTACCCTTCGCGAGCTGTTTGAGAACTTTTCTAGTTTTAGTATATCTCTGTTGCCGTTCGTCTTTTCGCTAAAAATATAAAATATAAAATCCCCTACTCACCAATATTTTAGAAGTTTGAATCATGTAAAACAATTGATTAATTTTAAGTGGCCTTAAGGAGATTTAAGCAGCACAGCACTTTAAGGGGAATCCTCTCTTCCTAAGTACGCTTATCGAATTAATATGCACAATCGAACACGATCACATATAAACTTAAAAACAGACGTAAAAACCTCCTACATTAAATTTAAAATTTCCGAAGAGCAGCGGCAGCCAAACGCACCAGTGTTCCATATTCTATCAAGAATATATTATAACCACAGCTAAAATGATGTTAATGCATTTTCCTTTAATAAGAACTAGCCATAAATCAAATCATAGTTAAACGTTTATAAATATAATATTTAGTTTTAATTGTACTGTTTCTTTTTTGGGGTTCTTTTAAGGGACAGTAATAGTTCCTATGCAAAAGTGGTTGCTAAATAAATAAGCGCACAACTAACAACGTACATTACCGTGAAATATCAAACTTTATTTCTGGCTATAACGGTATTGGACAAGCATTTGACGATCACTTTCATTCTCAATGCACCAGCCTGACTACGGCGAAGCGAGAGATTCAGCACGCGGACATGGCAGCACAATGCGCATGCGCTGTCACGCCCCCCACCTGCCGCCCAACCAGGAAATCCTCCTCAGCAGGCTCACACCGGCCGACGCGTGTACAGGGGAGAGCGCGGAGATGGCATCCAGCGAGTCTGTTGAATCTGTAGGTGAGTTCCAGACCTCAGGTGTCTCTCCCCTTAGGCTGGGGACTCCGATTATTGTTCTGCCATACTGATAATGCTTGAGGCGGTCTAACTTTGAGGTACATGTTGCACTGTGCGCTGACCGGACTGGTTCTTACAAGATGTGTTATCGTCGTCCGGGTATCTGAATTATCTCCGTCGATCGGCACAATTATTAACAAAAACGCCACGTTCAGGATTAATCTGGCAGATCAGCATTCGGTACCACGGTATCCAACCTATATACAGTAACAAAAGCGACTATAACGCCCGCGAAATGGAACAGAACAGTCGGGATGTCACTTATTAATACAATTTTTAAAAACTATTAAAATTAAAACCCCTGTTGCATAAAAAGGGCTGAATTGTTTACTTTAAATTCCCTCACCGGTGTAAAAATGCGCAATGAACGGAGATAATAATAATTTGGCTGCTGAGAAGTATATTATTAATGTATTGTTATTATGCGCCTTGGTATGAATGCGGATTTAAGGAAACGGCTGGGTACAGGAAGTTTCTCTCGCGCGCCGCAGTATTCCCTTCCCTGCGGCTGTCACAGTTCGAGCTCGACAGCTCATGTCATCCGACGCCGCGTCTCGTGACTCAGCGTTTGACCGGAATCCTCTGGTGCGTGGAATGTCTCCTCGCACCGTCACTTGGGCGTGCCAAGGTTTCCAGATCTCCGCTGTTCCGTGATGCAAACCAGCAGCATCTTCTGCTCAGTGAAATGAATACTCCTTGTATTAGTTATTTGTTTATACAGTAAATTGTTTTACTAGTACATTAAAAATAAGTTTTTTGTTTTATATTAATTGTAGTAATTAATATTTTGTCTGCCTTTTTTTTTTTTTAGCATAAAAGCACAGACCTTTCGAAGAATATAAGAATCCATAAACTTTATTGTATTTTGGGTGTAACAGACAACATTTCTATAATATCAAGATCCCAAAGTCTGTCTAGTAACAAGCAATAAGAATATGGTTTTTTAATAGAAATGCAGTTATGGGTATTATCTTTAGCATCAGAGATTATGGAGCGTTAAATCCGCTATTATTCATTGAGCTAATTAATTTCAACCAATACTAACTGGCTTTGTTAGCACCAAAACAGTGCCAAACGTACTCCGCTTATTGCACTTAACAGCTGCCCATAAGCTGACTCCACTCCGTCAAGGTTTTTCATTTTTTATAGCAGCACCGATTCTGCTGTTAATTGAGATGGTAAGATTAAGCACCTGGTGGTAACTTCAGGCCCCTGGGCTGACAGCAGCATGATCCACGTGTGACTCATTTACAACACTAATTGCAGCCCTGCTGACAAAATCCCATCATCCTTTGGATGGAACTATTTTCAGCTCATCTATCAATCATGTTTTAGTACTGTTGCTTTGTTACCATTAGACGTTTTCGCCGCTCTGAGTCTCGAATTCAGGTGGATTCTAACCCTGCAGGTGAGGGGGTCCCTAACTCCGAGGAAGAGGAGCAGAGGTCCGAAGTTGCCAGCCGCCTGATGGAATTGAGGCTGGTTCTCCTGGGCTGGAGGTGGCCTGGGAAAAGCCTGACGGGAAACACCATCCTGGGCCGGGAAGAGTTTCGCCTGGAGCGGGCGGCCGAATTCTGTGTCAAGCGGGAGACGGTACTGGAGGGGCGGAAGGTGACTGTGGTGGACACTCCAGGATGGTTCTCCTCCCAGACCACCCCAGAATCCTACCAGCAGGAGATGATGCAGGCACCCTCCCTGTGTGCGCCAGGCCCACACGCCTTCCTTCTGGTGATTCCCGTGGGCATGTTCACCGAGACGGACCGGCTCCGCGTGGAGGAGAACATGGCGTTGTTCGGCGAGCGGATCTGGAGGCACACCATCCTGGTGTTCACCTGGGCGCCGGGCCTGCGGGACATGCCCATCGAGCGCCACATCCACCGGGAGGGCCGCGACCTACAGTGGGTGGTGGAGGGCTGCCGGAACCGCTACCACGTCATCAACAACCAGGTCTTCGGCGAGCACCCCCAGCTCGCCCTCCTCATCGAGAAGATCGAGAACATGGTGGCTGAGGAGGGAGGCTTCTACGTGGATGAGGAGAAGCCTGCCACGGTCAGCGTGGACGGCCGTGACCTTGGCGCCAGGCCGAAGCAGAACGGCAGCGCGGTGATGATCCAAAACGCGGAGCCCTCACAAAGTAAGCGAGATGTTTGACACGCATCAGGAGATGTTTGCTCCGCCTGTGCCTACGATCTTACCGTATCTTGTGTTATTCAGGTGTATGTAATGATGGAGAGAGCGGGGTTGCCACTACCCAGTAGGACACCTGTATCAGGTATGTTCCAAACCCTGATGCGTTTCAGGTGCCATACTTTCAAGTATGTATCGCTGGGAGCCGAATGTCGAGTGGGAGGGGCTATGTGTGCCCCTCCCACCCGACAATCGGCTCCTGGCTGCAGTGGTGTTCTCCTCCATACTTCAGGTCCACTGCTTCACAGAAGGACTTCCTGACTGCTGCTGACATTTTTCGATAGCTGGTCCGTTGGGGGGGGGGTATGCATCTTAGCAGATTAGGACTCCGTGATCGGAAGGTTGCTGGTTCAAATCCCAGAGCTGGCAGGCTGATGGCACCGTTGGGCCCTTGACCAAGGCCCTTAACCCCCAGCTACGGGGGTTCTGCATGCTGGGTGACCCTGTGCTGTGACCCCCAAGCTTGCTCTCACCTGTATGTGTGTCTGTGTGTCTCATGGAGAGCAAGATGGGGTCAGTGAAAAGACAACTTCTCCTCCAGTATCACAAAAATATGTATATTTTCCTATCTAATGAAGAACAGATGTACCAGCTCCTAAGGGATTGTTCTTGTTTGAAGTGATTGTATCAGCCGCACCCCAGGCCTTCTGACTCGGGAGTAACAGCGTCCTCTCTCTCCTCCTAAGGTTTGGCGCCAGTGGATGGAGGAGCCGTTTGAAAAGACTTTTCTGCCTTGAGAGCTCTGACCCCAGTCTCCTATGGCAGTCCGACACACCACTATTGCCTGATATCTATAGTCCAACTCCGCCCCCCCCCCGCCCCACCTTACAGTAGGCACTTATTTCCATAAGTCTATATAAAGTAGTGATTGTTTAGAGTAGATTAAGGTTAGTTATGTAATTAACCTTGAAGTGTAAACACCAGACGCCCAGGCTACAGCAGGAACTGATGTTACACTCGTCTGGTCTCTGCTGCATGAGCAGCTCTTGTTTTTTGTTTTTTTTTTATCTGCTTATTTATTTTTTATCTGTGAAATTTGAGTCTGTACAGAATTATTGGGATGGCTGAGCAGAGTACAGAGTACAGAGTACAGTTTCAGGTACAAAGAGACTCTGCGCTCCTGGGGGGGGTCAGTCTCCAGGCTCAAATGATATTCTGCAGCTAATTGGCTGAACCACCAAGGGCTGCCACCAATGATGTACACTGTTACACATGCACAACTATTGTGACTTAGACTTCAGGGACTGGAATCTCAGTGTGTGATATTTTAATATTAACTGGATAAGTTAAACCAAAAAAAGAACAGAAAAAACACGAACCTCACAGAGGTCGGTGATGTGGGTGGTAGTTTTGATACACCAGGGCGTCCATGTACTGGACATAAATGTCCCCGTTTACTGGGCTTTGGGCTTTTTTTGCTCTGTACCAAAAACAGAATGCTGCTTCATAAATAAATGCTTCTTATAACCCTGGTGCCTTTCCCAGGAAGCACTGGGTGTGGGGCAGGGGTCCACCCTGGATGGGATGCCAGTGCATTGCAGGGGACACACAGAGCCCTGATTTTTTTCTGTTCGTCACAGCAGCATTTTATCCTGTAGGTTGACAAAAAAAAACAATGATTTTAGCCCAAGGGTCACCAGCCCCCTAAATTCCAAGCCCTGAAGATGGGTAATTTTTCAAGGCTCCCATTTAGCAGGAGGAAACCTGAGCACCTGTAGGAAGTTAATATAACATTCATCCCTTAAGGATTGGCTTACAGTGTCTCAGTTCCCTAACACACTACACTGACGTCAGAGCTGAGGCGAGCCGGATTTCACCCTCCAGACTGGCACAGACTGCCTTCCGCACCACCCCAAATGCACCGCAGCTCCCGGACTGGCACAGACTGCCTTCCGCACCACCCCAAACGCACCGCAGCTCCCGGACTGGCACAGACTGCCTTCCGCACCACCCCAAATGCACCGCAGCTCCCGGGGTTTGTCTACGCCGCTTTCTCGTGTGGTGAAGGAGGGAGGGAGGCATATTCAGTGCACATCAGTGTTTCTCGAATCGGCCCTCGCGAACACCCGGACAGTCTACATTTTTGCTCCCTCCTGGTTGGGAAGAAGCAAAAATGTGGCTAGTCTGGCAGGGAGCTGGGAGAGAGCAAAATCGCAGAATGTCCCCGAGGTCCGGATTGTGAAACCCTGGGTTACATTGATTAATATCCAGGTAACAGGTGTTCGGCCTGCTGAATGTACAGTGGCCCCCACCCTCCTGGCTAAACGTGAAGTTCCATCGTAGTATTTATTGGGGCACTGTTATTATGAAGAGCGTGCTTTATTCTGTAAAGTAAAATGTACTGAGTATACCATTCCTGCTAGATTTTTGTTTACAATGAAATAAACAAAACCGAACTGGATACAGACTTCTAATCACGTTTGCACATCCACCACAGGGCAGAGTGCATATGCAGTAGTAATGTGACACAACCAAAGACTGTTTTAATTTGTTTCAATGTTATGGCCCCCGCTGACAGTGAAATGGATTGACCCAACTCTAGGTAAGGGCTATATAGACCTGTTAATAGTACAGACTGTCCCCAACTTACGACTTAGTTCTGTTCCGGCAGACAGGTCGCATGTCGAAATGGACATACGTCAGAATAAGATAATCACACTGGCTTTGACATGTGAGAATGAGACTGGGGGACGCATGTCAGGCTGGGATGGTCTTGGATTGGATGGATTGTTTTTTATTCTTTTAAACCTCAGTCATACATCCGAATTGGCGTAAGTCACATAGGTTGTAAGTTAGCGCAAGTCTGTACTAGTTTCACTGTGAACTTGAGTGAACTTTTGCATAATTTAAAACGGAATATGAGCTCACACTAAAAAGGTCATTGTTTCCTCTGCTGAAATGACTCAATGGACAGAACTATTCTTCTGCTTAATATGTCCCTATCCTTAGTCATCCAGAAAACTATTTAATTATTTTAAGATCAGTTACATTGATTTTTTTTCCCTTATGGTTCATCACCATAAATATAATTTTTTGAATATCGGTGTCATTTTTCCAGTCTCCGATCTGAATATCCTGTATTGGCAGTTTTTCAAAATCTGTCCTTCCTTTCTCCATAATCTCTCTCCAGTGCAGGATCAGGTTCGTCTAATCATTCTAAATAAATTCAAAGGGGTAGCATTAATATAGTAGAAGTATACTGATTGATGGATTCTTCTTCGTAAAATGCCTTTTTCTGTGTGAATTATACACTTAATTCTGCATCTCTACCTCGATCACTCCAGCAGCCTTGCTTAATGGACAGTCCCAGGGTTGATATCCTACAACAAGAAGTTTCCAAATACCGACAACTGAAGGTGTTAATTATTACAAGTGAAAGGAGGATTTTCTAGGGAGCAAGGGAGAGCAAATTATCATTATGATCATTATTATTAGTAGAAGTGGTATTATTGAATATTATTATTATTGTTGATGTTTTTTATCTACAGTCTTTGTATGTTTGTTTTATTTGAATTAGGGGTGCACCGATTGCAGTTTTCTGGCCGATCAACGATCACCGATCCTTAGGCAACCTTACCTGCC